CAGGCAGGCTGGCTGGTAGGATGACAGGCAACATGACAGGCTGGCTGGTTTGCAACATGACAGGCTGGTTGGAAGGCTCACAGGCTGGCTGGAAGGCTCACAGGCTGGCTGGAAGGCTCACAGGCTGGCTGGAAGGCTCGCAGGCTGGCTGGAAGGCTCGCAGGCTGGCTGGAAGGCTCACAGGCTGGCTGGAAGGCTCACAGGCTGGCTGGAAGGCTCGCAGGCTGACTGGAAGGCTCGCAGGCTGGCTGGAAGGCTCGCAGGCTGGCTGGAAGGCTCGCAGGCTGGCTTGTATGCTGGCTGGAAGGCTCGCAGGCTGACTGGAAGGCTCGCAGGCTGGCTGGAAGGCTCACAGGCTGGCTGGAAGGCTCGCAGGCTGACTGGAAGGCTCGCAGGCTGGCTGGAAGGCTCACAGGCTGGCTGGAAGGCTCACAGGCTGGCTGGAAGGCTCACAGGCTGGCTGGAAGGCTCGCAGGCTGGCTGGAAGACTTGCAGGCTGGCTGGAAGGCTCGCAGGCTGGCTGGAAGGCTCGCAGGCTGGCTGGAAGGCTCGCAGGCTGGCTGGAAGGCTCGCAGGCTGGCTTGTATGCTGGCTGGAAGGCTCGCAGGCTGGCTGGAAGGCTCGCAGGCTGGCTTGTATGCTGGCTGGAAGGCTCACAGGCTGGCTGGTAGGATGACGGGGAGGCTGGTAGGCTGGCTGGTAGGATGACGGGGAGGCTGGTAGGCTGGCTGGAAGGTTGGCAGGCTGGTAGGCTGGCTGGAAGGTTGGCAGGTTGGTCGGCTGGCTGGTAGGATGACAGGCAGGCTGGCTGACAGGCTGACTGGTAGGATGACAGGCTGGCTGGTAGGCTGACAGGCTGGATGATAGGATGACAGGCTGGTCTGTGAGCCTGGTAGGCTCACAGGCTGGTTAGTAAGCTGCCTGGTAGGATGACAGACTGGCTGGAAGGTTCATAGGCTGGCTGGTAGGCTGCCTGCATTAGGCTGGCAGAGTTCTTTGGTCACGTGGCTGGTGTGTGGGTGTTTCACAATGACCACAGAATGCATGCCTCAATTAGCACAGAGCTTCTCCCACCCTCAAGGTAAGAAATGCATATGTTTATCTTTCAGAATGTTCAGTAATATGCTTTACGTTAGTGATGTCTGAATATATGAACACGTTGAACTGAACGGGATGAGAATAGCTTGCGCTGCCTCATCCCTTTGTGTGTATTTATACACACAAAGGGATGAGGCATGACCGAACATGGGATAGGGATACACGAACAGCTTTTTGTTCGGGCCTGAAGTCCCGAAACCACGACTAGGTTAGACAAAAGGGAGCCATGGCAGGAAAAGCCACCCGAAGAACACTTTCAAACTGGAAGGACCCCAGAGTTAGTTTAGTTCATTTACTATGCACCCCATACCCATCTTGTGGGCGGTAGTGGATAGGGTTACAGAGGCACATAATGGGCTCAGGGACTGAACCCCACAATTCATTTAGCTAAGCAAGTTACAATCTTGATGAGCTAGTTACAAAATTCAATATAAGTCATCACATCAACAATGGGTTCGAGATCGACCTCAAGTACAGGTTCTAAATTAAGCAACTGACATATGTGGAGAGCTAGTGTCACAATTGATATGTTTGTCCTGCACACCGCCCCCCCATCCAGTGGGCAGCGGTGGATAGGTTACAATCACTTAGTTACTACCTACAGTTAGCAAACTGGGGATATTTGGCTAAAATTTCTGGTAGCAGATCATTTTGAATGAAATATTGACACATCGCTGGAACATTGGTTATAGAATTGTCTCTAAATTCACGTATCTTTTCGCACTCCATCACATAGTGACGGAGGGTGTGCGAATAATTTTGTTGACACAGTTTACATTTGGTCAGGTCTACATCAGCAGATAATGACAATTCCCAGAGATACTTGTAACCGAGTCTAAGCCGAGCAGTAGTAACATCTAGAAGTCTGCTGATTTTATTGGATGATCCATAGATGTGTGGCTCCTCTTGCATGATAGTATGATGATAGATGGAATTACTGGTGTCAATTTCACTTTGCCTCAGATCTACAAGATCTTGTTGAAGTTCTCGGCGTACTGCCCAAGAGAATGAAGCAACCCATTGTTTCAGATAATGAACCACTGGGGAGTAGTTGGAGTGGATCTGGATCATGAAGCCCAGAGGGATGATACAACTATACGGAGCCTGCCAAACTGCCATATAATAATTACTTATTATTAATTAACTATTAAGGACCTGTCCTGTGGCCCCTGACCAGCCTACTTATTATTAATTAACTATTAAGGACCTGTCCTGTGGCCCCTGACCAGCCTACTCATTATTAATTAACTATTAAGGACCTGTCCTGTGGCCCCTGACCAGCCTACTTATTATTAATTAACTATTAAGGACCTGTCCTGTAGCCCCTGACCAGCCTACTTATTATTAATTAACTATTAAGGACCTGTCCTGTGGCCCCTGACCAGCCTGGAGAGTACTAGTAACAAAATCTCAATCCATGAAAAGGTCGAGTGCTGGGGCCCCATAAGACAGAACCTCAAAATGCCTGAAGAGGAAAGTGACAAAAACGAAGCCATCGTAGGACCTGTACTTGGCAGTCCTAGTGGTGGTGAAAAGAATGAAACTGAAGAAAATGGTACAGCACCCAAAATCAAACACTGCCTTCAGGGGTAAACCACACTGGCAAAGTTCAGAAGCTTACACAAACTACGTAAAACATTTCAGTTTCTACAAAATATTGATCATTTGCGCTTGATCTGCATGGTTTTTGTGGGAGCATATTTACCAAACAAATTAAGGATTGCTAAGGACTTTGGTTCCTGCTGGTTGGACAATGGGTTCAGTAAGCAACACTCGACCACCCAAGTCTTTTGCCACAACAGGGGAGTCCGTCTAATTACCGCAAGCTACCACAAGCTTCACAAAGCTTCCTGGCAATACTTTAGTAATGAATAAATATGATATGTTAGGTTAGGCTGATCTAACCTAACCTAACCGACGCTTGGATCCTCGACTTGATTTGGCGTCACCAGCTCTTTATTTTCGTCTTTCTTAAAAAAAAAAAATACTTTTTAGATTAAAATTATGTTTTTTCGTGTTGTACATTCAGCACCAACATTATAATGAGTAAATATATCATATTTATTCATTACTAACGTATTGCCAGGAAGCTTTGTGAAGCTTCATCCTTCAAAAATTTTTGAAAAACTTATATATAAGCAGCTTTACTCATATCTAGCCAAACTCAATATACTTAGCCCTTGCCAATATGGCTTCAGACCCAAAAAAAGCACTAACGATGCACTTATTAGTATGCTTAACTCGATTCATACAGCTCTTGATAAAAAGGAGTTCCCTGTTGGGTTATTTGTGGACCTGCGTAAAGCTTTTGATACTGTCAACCACCATAACCTTCTTCTTAAATTACATCATTATGGAGTCAGAGGACACTCCCTACAATACCTCGAGTCCTACCTTACTGACAGGCTCCAATATGTTTCTGTGAATAATACAATTTCTCCCACCCTACCCATCAACATTGGTGTTCCTCAGGGCAGCATACTTGGCCCTCTCCTCTTTCTCATCTACATTAATGACCTTCCAAATGCCTCCCAACACCTCAAACCAATTCTATTTGCTGACGACACAACCTTCATTTACTCCAGTCCTGACCCTCTTGCTCTAAATGCCACAGTAAATACTGAGCTAAATAAAGTCCATCTTTGGCTAACTGCCAACAAACTCACCCTTAACATTGACAAAACCTTCTATATTCTGTTTGGCAATAAATCCTCTAGTCATATAAATCTCAAAATAAACAATACCCAAATTTGTAACAAATTAGATGGCAAATTCCTTGGCATTCTCATTGACCACAAGCTGAATTTCCAGGGACACATTCTAAATATATCAAAAAAAGTTTCAAAAACTGTGGGCATTCTTTCTAAGATCAGATATTATGTACCACGCCCTGCCCTGGTGACTCTCTATTACTCCCTTATCTATCCTTATCTCAACTATGGTATTTGTGCTTGGGGTTCTACTACCCAAAATCACTTACGTCCTCTAATTACCCAACACAAAGCTGCTATTAGAACAATATCCAACTCTGGCCCCAGACATCACTCGGTACCCCTACTCAAATCTCTGAATATGTTAGATATTAAGTCACTGCACATTCTCTCATGTGTATTATACATATATAAAACGCTAAACTATAATGCCAATCCTGATCTTAAAAGCTTCATAGAAGGTTGTAACAGAACCCATGAGCACCACACCAGAAATAAATACAGTTTTGATATTCCTAGAGTGCGTCTTAATCAAACTAGAAATGCTCTGCAAATCAAGGGGCCCAGAATGTGGAATGACCTTCCCAACCATGTTAAAGACTGTACCTCTCTCAACCAGTTTAAGATAAAAACTAAACACTACCTAATAAATTCCCTGTAATCTACCTCACTCCTCTATTGTCAACCCATGTCTGTTATTTTCTTTTTTTTTAATCAACACTGTTTGTCAACCTATTGTATTTGTGCTGCTTTTTCAGTCATGTTCCCCCTTTTTTTATCTTTATTTGTATTTGTTCTCAACACTTTTTATTCTTTATGCTCAATTAGTATTAAGTTCTAGATATTAATGTTTTTCTTGCCCGAAACGCATTGCGTAATAGTGGCTTTAGGCATTGTATGTACTAGCTCTATCTATACAGTATATCAATCCATTAATGTAACATCACTTGTATGTATATACCTTACCTGAATAAACATCTGAATCTGAATCTGAAACATCTGCTTGTGGTAATTAGACGGACCGCAACAGGGAAGCTCTTTCCTGTTGTGACGAATGTTACCTTATCTATAAGAGAACATTTGGCTTAGCGCATATTGTGAATAACTTGTTCGCTTTACTAATTGTGTGAAAGACTAACAATTTGTTGATGCAGCTTTAATCAAATAAGGGAAAGAAAGTACAATGGCAGATAAATTCTAATAAATTTATTTTAATAGGTAAAATTCTGTACCTCTACACTAAAAAGAGAGAAATTTCTACAACTGCCTAACTAATTTATAACATTCTTTGTTTTTCTAGTAAACATTTAGTAATGTAATATCACAACTAAATAATAGCAGTATAGGAACCCTTCAACTTGCGGGTCTGCCGATGGCATCCCACACAGTTTCCGTACAACCAACATTTCACAATGTAGTTTCCAAAATAATAAACCAATTTTCACAACTAAATTAAAAAAATTTAATACCAGTATAGTACTGTAGTTTCATAACAAATACTGGCACTGCAAAACTAAAATGCTTCACAGAGCTAAATAAACAAATTTAATTAAAATTAGACTTTAATAATATAAGGGCTATGTGCTAACCAAATAAAATTATTTGTCGTCTATAAATAATGAGAAAAAATACCTACTTATTTATATTTAAAAAAAAATTAAAATTTCACAATAGAATGAGAATAAAAATGAATTTGAATAAATAAGTGTTTTTCTTTGGTTTCTAAACCACAACATTACAGCCATTTTCAAATTATTGCACAAATTTCAAACCAAAATCAGTATTATTTAAAATGGATTATAAATATATAAGGCCAAGCCTATGTATACAAACATGACTGGAGACTGCAAGTAAAACTGCAAGCCTTGAAGACGTAAACATCAATAAATGAAAACATTAATCCCATACAGCTTTATGTTCCAATGAACTGAAAACTTTATTATACTGTACCAACTGTTAACAAAACAGCTCTTTGTTTCTTGACATGAAACAAACATTATACACTGTGGCAGTGATTATTTATCACAAGTTATGGCTTGAAACACACAATATGCATCAGCCACATTATGCTAAAGAATAAAGCAACAGGAAATTAAAATAGCAGAATGATGCCAAAATAAACATTACATTTCTTAAGAAAGAACATTTTAATATGGAATAAGTATAAGTAATTAGAGTAATTACCAGAAGAAGGCACCAAGCTGTAGAGACTACGTAGCACCATCACTGTCGTATAATAAATGCTATATAATTAAAACTTTATAACATTCTACGTATCAAACAATTTCAAGTACAGCTCCATTTTGACTAAAGGTAATTAATGCATAACATTACCACTGGAAGCCCCAAGTATTACAGAGAATGGCCAAACACTTTTACATTTTCTTGATGTTTGCTGTTACATTACGCGCATCACTCCCTAAACTCTTCCAAAGATTGTACGTAATCTTGGGAAGCATAAAAGATGTCTGGATGTGATACAAGTATAATTAAGGAGAAATATATAACAGATCACATAGGTGACCTTGTACAACTAGCAGACAGGGAGACAATTCACAGCTGGTCTAAGGAGTATTTTCCATTCATTAGTCACACATTTAACATTTTACTAATACTGAATTAGAAATACATTCAGTATTACTTTCCTCAAAATAATAAATGCTTATATTTTTAAAGTCCTATTTAGTTAAAAACTGTGGAAGAATTTAAGTAGAAGTGTTCAGTAGCGACTTGCAATGTACAATTCGAGCATATGCAGCATTAAACATAAAAAGGCACAATTTTAATAACTTTCGAAAAATATGTATTATAATACAGTAATCATTTTTTGTATTATTAATTCCTATCGCACATTTTCTTTACACAATGTTACCATTTAAATGAGGTATGTCAAACTGAGAATTCCCCGAAGGCCATATGGGGCCACATTTGTGTTGTCATGAGGGCCACACACCACAACTGAGGGGGGCCCCCCGAGAGCCATATGGGCCACATTTGTGTTGTCATGAGGGCCACACACCACAACTGAGGGGGGCCCCCGAGAGCCATATGGGCCACATTTGTGTTGTCATAAGGGCCATACACCACAACTGAGGGTCCCCCAAGGGCCATATGGGCCACATTTGTGTTGTCATAAGGGCCATACACTCCAAACTAATAAAGTGATTTAATACAAATTATTGCAGAATATTTTTCTATATTATATTATTTATTATATTACATATCAAATTACAGTATCCTTTGTGTGGGCCACAGGTGTGCTTGCAAAACGCCGCATGTTTGACATGCTTGCTTTAAAACATATATCAACTACTTGTTACAATATCAACTACTAAGGAGTGGACATATCACCTGTATGTTTACTTAACTTTGTTATATTTTGTATTTAAAACAGAAAAGAAAAAGGTACTGCTTTCAATAAAAGAATAAACATTAATATAACTCTTGCTCTATAAAAAAAAAGTATTGTTGAAAAATATGTCAAACAGGTATAAAAAATAAACTCAAAACTAAGACTATAAAATAATCAGCTTTCAGTGCTTGAATCTTAATATAGATCGACAAGGAACAATAACTGGAGATGGAGAGCGATCAATTTAACACCCCATTAGGTGCTAGCATATCACAAGTTTCACTCAAGATCATTATCGACCTATCTGGCTTTACCAGGAATTGAACCCCACAATTTATCCTACTTTCCAACACTGATGAGCATGACATAGTTTATGGACCTGAAGAGGAAGGGTCCAGATACCAACACACACACACATGATCTTGACGTTGTTTGACAGAACTGAAGACAAGTCCAGAAACCATTTCGTGCAATATTGCACAAATAATTTTGCAACACTGAGCTTCCCCTCAGTGTCATGGATAAGCACCTCCAAAGGATACCTGATCAACCAGGCTGTGACTCATACGTCAGGCTGCGAGCAGCCGCGTCCAACAGCCTGGTTGATCAGTCCGGCAACCAGGAGGCCTGGTCGACGACCGGGCCGCGGGGACGCTAAGCCCCGGAAGCACCTCAAGGTAACCTCAAGGTAAGGTAACCTCCCCCGAGTTACCAACAATTTACTATCAGCACAAAATAAGACTAAGAAGAAAATTTCTTGGACGCTAATTTTTCATTGGGACTGATATAATAGCATAATCGATGCCGATTATTTAGAGAACAGCCAAATGTAAGTGATAACGTCACGCTTCTACAGCTAACAGAACATGTAATAAAAATTTAGGAGAAAAAATTTAAACAGCAGTACAGTACCAAATCCTAATTTAAAAAAAAAAAAAAATGCTGCCTCAGGAACATGAAAAAACTTATACAGACAACAATAATAGCAAAACAAATAGTTGTAACCAAGATTAACTTTCTTAAGTAGTAAAACATTCCATTACCGTATAGGCTAATATAAGCCAAAGACAACTTTTGTGGATTAAGAATCAAGCTCAACAAATATTTCCCAACTACAAAACTCTCAAATACAATTTAATTATATTCTGAATTTTCCAAACCTTTATTAGAAACTCTAAAAGATTCCAGTACACTAAAATGCTCCCCCCAAAGTAATTTATAATTAAAATTTCAACTACTAGTGTAGCACCACCTAATAAAGAACTACAAAATTCCTTTGGAAGAGAATCACCAGTAAAAGATTTTCCTACAGCAGGTTAAGAGAGAAAATATTAACTAAAGCCAACAGGTCCTAGTCGTGTCTTTGTTGACTACTCAATGCCTCTGGTCCCAACTCCTATAAAACTTGTGTTCTGCAAACAAAAAATGAGATCCAAGCAGTACAATATTAGATCCTATGTGCTGCTTTTTTTTTTCCTCCTTTCCTTTAAGAGTGAAGACCAGACCACGCACTAGAAGAATTTGATCCAGGACGGACCGAAACGTCGTTGTCCCTTCACCTTCTAGTGTGTGGTCTGGTCAACATACTTCAGCCACGTTATTGTGATTCATCGCCTACATTTAAGAGTGAACTTATTGCACGAAATACATCACAACACATGATGAATATACATCAGCATAACCTGACTATACAGCTCTATCTCCCCCCCCCCCTAGTCTATATCACAGCCTTATTTTAAAATTGAAGCTCAATGATTCACCTAAGATGATGAATGATGGTCTGAAAACTCAAAATAAAAACCAACTATAAACCTTACTTTACCCACACCCAATGGCCTCGACTCTTTTCTTAAAATTCATTCACTTATGAAAATCATAAAAAAAAATACACTTATAGTTGACACTCATTGAAAAGGAACTGGGTGGCAGAAATTCCGTGGCAACAGAAGATTTCCATTCTTGTAGCATGATCTTTTATGGTCATTTTAAATGGAAAGCAACGGATGACTTTTGGTGGAGTGAGACCAAATATTTGTAACAGAATTTGATGGCAAAAATTAAAAAAAAATCAATTAAATATTTATAAATATACCTTTTCCAATTAATATTTGTATCAAAATATACACAAATGTGTTTTCTATAGTTTTTAATGATAAAATAGAATAATATTAAGCAAAAAAAATAATTGCACTAAAATTTGTACTCAAAACCGTTAGTTATTGGGTAACGTTATGAATAGGAACAGTAGGAACGTGCTCAAGCAGCATTACAATATACATCAATATTAAAACAGATCTGGTACACAGCTCCTCCCCCCCCTCCTTTCCATACTGAATTTCATCCCACTAGTATGGTGGATATCCAACAGAACCTAATTTAATAGTTTTCAATTTCATCCCAAAATTTCCCCACAGTCCATCCCGAAGCAACCCAAAGAGGCATTTTTACACAACTAAAGATTGTATTTTTGTACTACATACTGTAATATTATTCATACAAATTTGTAAAAACTATTGCATTAACTTAACTGTGTTGTACTGGATAGAGTTAATAAATCTTAATATTTGACTGTCTTGACACCACTTAATTTTCTAAATAATAAAATTCTTTGTCCTGGAATGCATCTTATTCTCTCACAAAACCCAAAATAAAATACTATGATGTCCAGTGTGACACGAAGTCTCACGTAAGAGACTCACAAACACATCCCTCACGTAAGAATGGGAGTCTACTGTATGTGAAATTAATGTATAACGGTACTTAAAACATCAGTACTGTGCTGTTTAAAGACTAAACATCATGCAGATACCACAACATGAGAGACAAGAATGAGTTGACGGCATCCAAAAATTATACTGCAATAGGTATGAAGTGCAAATCATGAATCACAATAATGGGGCTGAAGAATGTTGACCAGACCACACACTAGAAGGTGAAGGGACGACGACGTTTCGGTCCGTCCTGAACCATTCACCTCCTAGTGTGTGGTCTGGTCAACATACTTTAGCCACGTTATTGTGACTCATCGCCTGCAACAGGTATGAAGTTTTTATCTTCAAAATAAAACAGGTTTGATGGGCAAGACCCAAATTAATTACAGCAGACACATGACAAGCATAGTAAACTAAAGCATATGCATTTAAAAAAAAAAAAAATGCCCAATTATAAACATTTACATTGTATTATTTCCCTATTAATATAAACACTTTATTTTAAGAATACTGTAGCAATGTTGTTTAAAATTAAAATTTGATTTGTAAAAAAAAAAAGCAACACATGAGTGAAAAAGAAACAAGATATTTCATATTGTTACTTACATATACGCAGAGTAACCAATGCTTGCTATTAAAATAAAATATTAATTAATAAACATGACATGACATGAAAGAGTGACTAGTTATCTTGAAACTGAGGCTTTTGAGCACTAAAATTTGAGCTATCTTCCAAGATCAAACTGCTCTATGCATGATATCAGATTTACATTAGAAAGGAGGTACAATTTTTTGAGGTGATATGGATAATAGTTATCTTGAAACTGAGGCTTTTGAGCACTAAAATTTGAGCTATCTTCCAAGATCAAACTGCTCTATGCATGATATCAGATTTACATTAGAAAGGAGGTACAATTTTTTGAGGTGATATGGATAATAGTTATCTTGAAACTGAGGCTTTTGAGCACTAAAATTTGAGCTATCTTCTAAGATCTAACTGCTCTATGCATGATATCAGATTTACATTAGAAAGGAGGTACAATTTTTTGAGGTGATATGGATAAGCTACATCAAAGTTTAGCAGTAAAAAATTATACAGTAAAAAAATTAATCTTTATACAGTAAAAAATTAACACTGAAATAATTAAGAAAATATCTCTTATGATGTTAATATATTTGACTTCTTTAAACCTTAATTTTTTTATGAATGAGCGATGTCATTTACAAATTCGAAACATTTATAAAAATGCAATTCATTTCTCTCTAGACTGTCTTCTTAATGATTCTGCCTTAGTGCTAGATCTTGTCGTTCGCCGATATTTAGATGGCGGTGAATTTGAAGGACTGCCTCCAGGGCTTCTGATCAAAGAGCTCGAGCTTGAACTTCTAGAGAAATCTTGTAGCGACGAGGGCGACATGCTCAACCTTATCCCGACTCCTGACGACTGTGAGGAAGATGAGCTACATCTATTATCACTTGGCACCTCTGGCGTCGGAGATGACAACATAACTGCCTTACCAGATTTAGCCTTAACTGAAGACGAAGAACTAGATCTACGCCTTTTTTGCTTTCTTGATGGCAATACAGGAGATGTACTATTTCTACCGATTCTTCGAACTTTAGCTGGTGGCGATAAGGAAGAGACGGACTTGGCACGGCTTGGCAACTCTGGAGGCGGTGATGCTGACAGTTTTATTAATTCGTGAACTTTGGATGATGGTGATGAGGAAGCACTGGATTTTGGACTATTGAGAACTTTTGTCGTTGGTGAGAGTGAAGAACCACCTCTGTTGCTTATATTACTTTCTCGTGCTGGCAACAGCGAGGAGTCCGAGCGTAAGGATTTGCACATTTTCTTTGAGAAAGGTGGCGATGCTGCCGAACATTCTTGAACTGACTTGCCCTTTTGAACTTTATCACGCGACTTTAAGGTTGGAACTGAAGATGTGTTAATAACGACCTTCTTGTTGGGATGTGTTCGTCTCTGGTGTGTAACATGTTGCTTTTCAAGGGAGTGATGAGCTGGGCAGTAAGGACAAGAGAACAGCTTTGCTTTCACATGTTTTGAAATGTGCTTGTTTAAAGAAACTTTATCTAGTGTTCTGAATGGACACTCAGGGCACGGTAAGAACTGTTTCTCCAGATGACTTAATTCATGTCTCTCCAATACAATTGATGTATCAAACACTTGTTTACAATATTTACATTGAAAAACTTTACAACTTTTACTTTCATTCATTTCTTCCATTATTTTTACACTGTCACTACCTTTGGCATCTTGATCCCTGTTCTTCTTGTGATTACTCTGTTGACAACAAATAATTAATAATCTGTGATCCTTAATCAAGGAAAAGACATAAAATACAATTCTCATTAGTTAACAAATAAGATAAATAGATGAGATTTTAAGGAACAAATTAGTGCATGCCCCATTTATTTAACTTACTGGAGCCGTATTAGCCTTGAAGGACATTTAACATATTAATACCAAATTAAACTAAAAGTTGGAGAATAAAATCCTCAACACATGGCTATATTAATTGGAAATTAAACAATTTCTATTAACCTGCTTTGCTTGATTATGCTTAGCAAGATGTTATAATTTACTTTTAAATTTTTCCATTTACAAATATTACCATTTAAATTACCAGCAACCTGAATGTGTCAAGTGCAAAGCAGAGCAGTTCATGGTTCTAGACAATCTGATTTGTACAGTACAGCCTGAGCTGATATATATCCTGTCCTATTAATTCAAGTCTAAGCCTTTCCTGACGGACACAAAATGTTGCTAACCTTTGTCTCCGAGGTGTCATCTGGGTAGTTGTCTGGGTCGTCGTCTGGGTCGTCGTCTGGGTCGTAATCTGGGTCGTAATCTGGGTCGTAATCTGGGTCGTCATCTGGGTCGTCATCTGGGTTATCATCTGGTTTATCCACCGAATGTTTCTGCTCAGCTGAATCCTTGGGTTTCTGTGAAGTTTTTTATAATTACAATTAACACAGTGAAAAATCATTGCTACAAGTAATTTGATTTGTTTTCACAATTATTGCACAAAGATTCAGCCCGTCCTCTTGTTTTGGTAATACTGTACTTATAGTAACGATGAGGACAATAGTACAGTACACACAGAGATATTGCGGATTTGTTCAATAGTACAGTCTTTATACCCAAGTACAACAAAATTAGACAGTAGAAATCAGCACTATTGAGTTGGACTAACCGGGAAAACTTTTTTTTTTACTTGTGTTGCAAAGACAAAAACTAACCTAACCTTCCTAGGCCTAATGTGCAATATCTTAGGCCTAATATAGTACATGTGTACTATACTAGGCCTAGGAATATTTATGTATGTTTTTTTAACTTCATTTATTTTAAAAGAATTCCTTACTAGTCAGTATACTACTATCTAAAAGCTAAGTACAGCACGTATGAATTCGTGACTATTGATGATCATCACAATAGGTTCTGTCTAAACAGGAGGATGGGTTGAAAGATTAGCATTTTAATTGTCAGAAAATGCCACTTGTCCAAAACTCAAATTTTGCCATCAGTCTCTTGTCAGGCAACAATACAGACCAGGGCAGTCCAATTTGCACAATCATGTGCTAATGCACAACTATTATAAAATCATAATATAGTCAAGTTAAAGCCCTCATAAAGGGACAAGAGGTGATACCAACCCTGGATTTTATGGTGTTATCTGGCATGTGCATCGCAACATCGGGTTTTGCTGCATCCTCTCTGCATTTCTGCAAAGATAATTTCTTCTTACAATTCCAAATAGCACCTTATTCATATCCAGACACGTATAGTGATTATATTACATTATCTGCGCATGCAAGTTTCAAGGGTGAGCATGACTCCAATCAAGCTTCGGGATCCCCACCAACCGCAGTCTGAGAAGCAGTGTTTTTTAACCAAAGCCAAATAAGTCAAACGACCCAACCTCTCAACAGGCAATGAAGAGGCACCAGAAGGGAAAGTAGTAAACTTGTCCATACCAACTTCTTAACTTCCTCCTCATAGAGCAGCAGTAACTCAACCACCCAGGATCCTCAATAAAACTAGCATTGAATGTTTTGACACGCCTCTTTCTTGTGGGTCCTTGGCGGCTCCTTGTGCTAGCTACCTGGATAATTCCACCCAATTTAAACTATACCAGCCTCTTGTGAATCTTTGTAAGTTTACTGGGAACCAGAGGCCAAAACTTGGCCCTCTCCATGCGTGCATGGACCAGGCGGTGTTAGATCACCCCTAACCAAAAAAACACACCAGAAAGGTAAGCAAGCCAAGAGGTAAACAAGGTATAGAAAATTAAAAAATGAGACCCCCAAACCAAGTGAACCAATCATTCACAAAGCAGTTCACTCGTTACTTACACCCGTGTGCTACCAGGTGGCTGCACCTAGCTTGTCAGTCCAATACTCCTGAAAAGGGATGAGTAGGTCCAAGGAGCTATCAAGGACCAACTAGAAAGAAGGTTTATTACATTCAATGCTGATTTTCTAACAGGGCTCCTAAGATGGCTCCTTATTTTATGTAAACACAAAGAATAAAAGATGTACTCACCAGGATCAGAGGAGAGCGCAAAAATTAAGCCAAGGTAAGATAAAATTAGCAAAGAGTTAACCACTCCAAAGCCACACAAGCCTGGTGTGGACGAGGAATGTATATCAAGTCTTGAGCTTGCAGCACTGTTGGACCGCTAAAACCCACACGCCCGAATATCTACCCATGACATATTCACAAAAAACCAGCATTGAATGTAATGAAACGCCTTTTACTGGGTGACCCCCGGAGGCTCTTTGGAGCTATCGGACTGATAGCTCAGACTATATTAGTCTGGGGTACAAGTCAATGGTGTTCTGCCTACCGGGGACCACGAGGCAGAACCTGGCCCTCTCTCAGAGAAGCACAGGGAGCAATGGCCTATGGAATCCCCCATGTGTTTGAGAGCATTCTATGTCTGCCATCGACCGAGGTTAAGCACCCAGAAAGGTAGGCATAACACAAACCTCACCTGGTAAGAAATTGCAACCGAAGACCAGATAGAGACAGAACTCCCTCAAAAACATTAAGAAACAAGCAAACGTCATTCACTGCTGCCGAGTCGCTTGTCCGCACAGCCATTCCCTTCCTTGTAGAGGGAGGGGAAGCCCCAGACCCCTCACGCCGGCTACTCACACCTTAGTTCGGAGGTTGAGCATCAAAACGAAACCGCCAACCGGAGGGATGGAGGGTGCCAGGGAGCCACCGGGGCTCAAACATAAAATGACCCAAGACTCAATCCCTGGAACAGGGAATGAGGGAAATCAGGTCAACCCAAAGTGCATCCACAGCCACAGAGGCATAGGCAAGCAGATAACGGCAGAGACCCACAACAGGACTCGACACATGATGCACCCCCAGCCTACCCAACCAACCATCAATGACCCAAGGGCCCCTCCGGAAACCTGCCATCTCGTTCTTTGCCAGAAAAGGAGACAGCTGCAACCAGACAAATAGACCACCAGGACCGAAAGAGCAGAAACCCCTGTGCCGGAGGAGAGCATGAAGCTCATCAACCCAACCTCTAGAGGCCAATGACAACAGATATAGAGCCTTGGAAAAACACTCTTGAACTGAAGAGGCAACCACAAACTGAGGAAAAGAGCAAGAAAAGAGACCACCCGGTCCAACAACTAGGACGGCTCAGGCGTCGCATGAGCAAGCCGTAGGTGAAACAAACGCACAAGATAGCTTGTGGAATGGAGCAGAAGTAACTTCCACCCCGAACTTAAGTTGAAGCAGCTCCGCCAGCGCCGCACGATACGAGACGACAGTATTCGGCGTAAGACGACGGTTCTAAAATAGCCACGAAAAAGGACAAAACAACCCGATCAGAAATCGAAGACAACCTACGAAAAGACAAAAAGTGACAAAAGGACTGCCAGGAAACTTCATACAGGGGTACCAACCCATCCTCCGAATTGACAGTACGATTTAATACTAAGTGTAATAAGTACACTTTCTAACTGTCATAACCAGTGCATAATTGCACTTATGGGGCTGTTACATTTACCCAACTCCCTCCCCCGATTTAATTCTCCTCGTTTTCTGTTAAGACACACAGAATTTTAGGATGAAATTTTCAATTTCAATTTGCAATACACAAGTTTTAAATATCAAGAATTTTTTTTTCTGGTTTATTAAACAATATAGATTTTATACAAAATTTTAAAATATCCTGAGTTATTTTACAATTTATTGATATATTTTAGTTTTGTTTTATTAGTTTTATAAAACTGTAATATCAATATAGCTATAGGTTAAGTACTAATTGTAATTAAGAAGCAATAAAATTATTATCTTCAAAAACTAAGACGGTTAGGTGAGGTTGTGGTTTTCTATTCAGTTTTTGGGGTAAACTCAAATATTCACAATATATTTGACAGTACGATTTAATACTAAGTGAAAATAAGTACAATTCCTAACTGCTATGAATAGTACATAATTGCACTTATTTGTCTCCTTACATTTACCACCCCATTTTTGGAGGACGGGCTGCACAAGGAAAGGTTCCATTGAAGATTGTTTTTTCCCTTCTTTGCAACACTTGTCTGTAGTGAGGCATCACGTTGTCATTAAAAAGATCAATGCAACGGCCTACTACAGCTTTATCTGGGTGATTCTTTTCAGCAAAACTTTGCAGTCCTTCCCATACTGCACACATTTTCTTAATTAATGAGGAAGGGACATTCTCTACTGCCTCCTCTTCCACCCCTGAAGATTTGTTGTACTGCCTAGCTAGTTCAACAACACGAGTACCATTTTCATGCTTACGAATGATCTCTTGTTTTTCCTCTATGGTCATTCTCACATGCGATTTCTTGTCTTGAACCTTACAACTGGCTTTCTTGGGACCCCATGGCAAGATATATAATACCAACTTTTATGCTCAAATAGCCAAAAATCCAACAAAAAACTGTAAATTCTTGTGAAGAATTCAGGCGGGATAGTCACTGGGCGCGAGGCATTGGTAAACTGAGGCGCGATCGCCGTGCCACCACGCACTAGGTCAGCCGTATGCGTATCAACAAACTCGCATCCCGATGCAAAGTTTGTATCCCGACAATTTTTCTGATCAAATCGAGCTCATAACCCGAAAAGTTCGTAAACAGGGACGTCCGTAACCTGAGGTACCACTGTACTGCCGTCGAGACGAAACACGCAGGTGGGACACTATCAACGAAGCCACCTGATTATCATACAAGTGGTGATAAATCCGCATGAAGATAAGAGAAGACCGAACCAGCCACGTACCAGACCGAATCGATCTGCTGAAAGAGGCAGAGCCGCAGAAAGAATCCCGGGTTTGGACACCGAGCAAGCAGCACCTGAAACCAAAGCTGGGTTGGCCACCAAGGGAGCAACAGGACAACTCTTCTCTAGTAAGTTTCAAAACAAGCCAGAAGCCAAAACAACAGCTAAACCTGGGGGAAGAGGTACAGGCAACCCCACCTCGACCAGTCCTGCCGAAAGGCATTAACCCCGGCCTCGCAGTTGCGGAAGGTCGCCACATATACCGAGAGACGCCTCGACCACGCTGGCACAAAGAGGTCCACCAACGGGCGCCCGTACATCCGGCAGTCAACTGAAGGAGTTGGCGTCGACCGTCTATTCTGTGAACAGGGAAATAAACCGAGACAGGGCCATGTACCAGGATGTTGGACACTCCCTAGATAAGAACCGCCCGGAGAGCCAAACCTTGAGAATCCAGCAGACGAGTCACCCGAAGCGACCAGCCCCAAAGAGCCAAGGACCGCGTTGAACCCCCGCAGTTCAGACAATGAACCACTGGGAAGCAGTCCAAATGGAGCCAAACTGACGATCCACGAGTGACGCGAACCCTCTGAAGCAAAAGCCGCACTGCCGTGAACTCCCGCACCGTGCTGTGAGCCCGACGGAAGGATGGACCCCACCAAACTTGGCTGGCCTGGTGAGCATTGGTCACAAAGCCTCAGCCGAGAAACGATGCATCTGTGAACACATCGAGCTAGGGCTTGGGTAGGCACCACGGCACTGAATCCCCCCAAAAAACGAAAAGGAAGCCAGCAACACAGCAGCTGACGCAAGGCCCCCGGCACCTGAACCCAGTGATGGCGAGAGCGGCAGAAGGGACGTCCTCAAAGGAACCAGAGCAGTCACCGAAGCTAGATCTGACCAGACAGGAGGATCGGCATGACGAAGTTTAGACTCCCGCACAGTTGCTCAAACAACCGACAAGTGATCTGGGTGCCCTCCAAAAACAGTCAAAGGCGGGACTGCAGTCACAGCAAAGACTCCAGAGGGAGAAACAAGATAGAGGTCATGGGTCACACAAGACCCAGCTAAGTCCGAACCTGAGAGGGAACCAAATGGGACTTCCTCCAGTTCCCCAAGAACCCGAACCCAGCGAGCAGGGAAAGAACCAAATCCCTGGCGAGCAGAGACATGGACCGGCTGGAGGCCCAAACCAGTCAGTCGTTGAGTTAGGCCAGAACCCAAACCCCTAGAAGAGGCAAATGGGCCACCACGATCCAAATAAGGTGTGTGAAAAGGCGTAGAGCCAGATTCAAGCCGAATGGGAAAACAACGAAAGCTGTAAGCTTGCCGCCCCATGACAAAACCAAGTCAGTCCCTGAACCCTGGATGAAAAGGGACGTGTCAAAACAGGGTCCCGGAGGTTCAGAGAACACCTCGCGGAGAACCAACAAGGCCAAAATGGGACGGCAACTAGACGAAGCCCCCTGCAGATACTGCACAACCGCAGACTCTGCAAACAGCAACGAGCAAAATGGGGATGAAAATCTAAAACCCAATGCCCAAGCAGATTCCAAAGAGTGAGCGAGTACTGCCTGTCGGCAAGCGAAGCGAGAAGCAAAGAACAGAGACACCACTTCCTTCAGAATCGGTATAAAGAACTTCAACAAGGCTGCCGACGCACGAACCGCCGAGGCAAGCACCCAGACGCAGGCCCGGAACCCAGCGCCTCCACAATCTCCGCGAGTAAATCCGAAGACATCTCAAGCAGGGAAAAGAAGTGCAAGACCGAAGCCAAATGCCCACGGGGACAAAAGTCCTCAGCCACCAAGGATGCCGAAAAGGCAGGAACCTGCACATGAAGCAGTACCTGGCCGATATCTCGAGGAAGAACAGAGGCAAACAAGCACACATTGAGGCGCTCAAACTCACCCTAGGTAAACCTGAACCACCATAGTAGTTTCCAGCCACTCAAGTGTACAGGTCCGACAGAACGCATGCCACGCCCCCAACGAAAAGAAAGGACAGTCTGCCAACCAGGAAGACTCCGGCACCTCATAACGCACCCAGTATGGAAAAGAGGAACCAAATTCAAACAAAGAAGGATCCATTAGCGAGGCAAAATCTGGGTCTCACAGGGAGGTACGAAGCAATAGCCTACCGAACCTCCTTATGCAGATGGAGAAGCCGAAAACCTCTGGAAAGAGGGAACCGAGGAACCCAAGGGAACCCGGAACCGAACCCGGGGAGGAACTGAACTCATATCAAAATCGTACAGGGACGGGGGTTAAGAAAACCCATTCCCCCTGCAACAACAAGCCCCGTGCCTATGGTACCAACACCCAAATGGGATCAAACGGGGCCCAAGCCCCCAAGTCAACTCCACCCCCTGCCTCTGGATCCTCCACGTCATGACCCAGGGCAGACCCAGGCTCCAAACCCTGTGCCTCTGGAGAAAAAGCAGAGTCCACTGGAAAAGCAGGGAAGAAGGGGGTCTGCTGGTCCGACCCAAAAGCCCCAGCAGGAGGAACCGGCTTGAATGCCTCCGCCACCGAACTGGAAGGAGCAGCCCCCAAAACCGCCCGAGTCTCACTACCATCTAAACCCTGCCCCGACTACGAAACCCTCAGATATTTGGGAGCCAGCAACAGGAGGGGGGTGCAGGGGAGCAGGACGAACAACAGAAGGGGAAGGACAAGGGAGGCGTGGATGAAACCAAAGTCGAGGCATCAAACGCCCCCAAGTCCAGGTTCCTATAACCAAAGCTGGGCAGCCTCAGGGCATCTAGAAAGGCAACCAACCAAGCACACTGCAGCAACCTAAACTGGGCATGCAATGCTGAAGCTGACTGCACCAAAATATCAATAGCAGTGGAGTGGGTGAACTGGAGTACAAGCAAGGAACACCACTTGCAGGACTCCGGGTCAAAGGTGTCACTGACCCAACAGGCAGCACGGCAAAGGAAAAAAGTTGAATGTCACCCTGAGACAAGGGGGACAGAGCAATCTTCAAACTCGCACAAAGTGAGACGGGACTCAGAGGATGCATCCGTTGGACCAACGAGCCTTGATGGGGTTTTCCAGGGCTGTTAAGGGAAGCCCTGGCAAGGTACAACTAACTGGTTATCCCAGAGCTACCAAACAAACAAACGCTGAGCCCCTGCGACGTGTACAATTATGGGGTCCTAGTGGAGGGCCACCAAAATAATACAAGTGGTCTTGTAACCACACCAGGCAGACCCCCCCCCACCAGGCAACCAAAAGAAAAGAGAGAGAAAAATCCCGCAAAAGTACTACGTCTCCCAAGAGGAACAGAACCAGCTACTATGCATATTATAGACAACTGCACAGTACCTTGCACCCCTGCCAGGTACGAAACTACCTCCTTCCCAAGGACAAACAGTGGCAAGAAAGCCTCAGCTGGCCCCAAAGGCGGGCAATCGCAGGGCAGCAAAAGAACTCTGCGGAGATGATCCCCGAACAGTTTGAGGAAGGTAACCCAAAACTTCAATGGTATTACTTACAGGGCACCTAGGGAAGATGACCCCTAGGCACATGCAGCCCAAGTACTTCTTGAATTACACCTGGCTCGCACAGCACCACACTGCAACACACCTCCACAAGGCACAGCACTGCACAAGGATCGGAGCCAGAGTCGAATGACCGCCACTCAACACATCAGCCTCAGAACTGGGGTCGAGTAGCTGGTGCAGGGGGTCTGGGGCTCCCCTTCCCCTTCCCAGGAAGGGGGGGGGGAGCTGCTCAGACAGTGGCATGGCAGCAATGGTGACGTCATGCTTGTTTGCTTGTTTTTGGTTAGGGGAGTTCCGTTTTCAGTTGCAATTTTTAACCAGCATTAGTTTGTTTTGGGACGCCTACCTTTCTGGGTGCCTAACCCAGTAGATGGCAGACATAGACTGCTTCCAACCACATGTAGTTTTCTATAGGCCATTGCTCCTTGTGCCTCTCTGAGGGGAGGGGGGGCGCAGGTTCTGGCTCGTGGTCCCCGGTAGGCTTAGAACTACTCCAGGACATGGTCAAAAAGAGTTGAAACCAGAAGTTCTACTGCACTTACTTGGATCCTGCAGCCTCTCCGAGACACAGATCAGGGTTTTACACAACTCCCCCCCCCTCCCATGTGTAAAGCTTAGAACTCTAATTGAATTGACTAATGCCATGGTCTAATACAGTACATACGTATCAGCCTGGTAAGCTCCAAGGAGCCGGAGGGGCTCTCCACAGAAACACTGTTTTATTGATCTAAGAATATAATGTGTCTCTAAGATGAGGAGAACCATATTTTTTAGCATTGCAATGATCCACACATTTAACTATATAAATTCTTCAAATTACACACTACAGTACTGAATAATATTACTGCAAAAGACCAGATAAAAAACATTCAAAGACATTGAAATAATTATGTAAAAACATCTTTGCAGCAACCCCGCCACACTCCTGGGCTGGAGCAGACCGTCACTGGCGAGTACTCTCTCAACGACTGAATACTGCCAAACTTCCTCACCTGTCACGGCAATAGTATGTTAGCAAGAATGAGCGCATTGTCATGGGTTCGTATCCTGGCCGGGGAGGATTTACTGGGCGCAAATCCTTAACTGTAGCCTCTGTTTAACTCAACAGTAAAATGTGTACTTGGTTGTAACAACGATTCTTCGCGGCAAGGATCGTATTCCAGGGACCTGCCCAAAATGCTACACGTACTAGTGGCTGTACAAGAATGTAACAACTCTTGTATATATCTCAATAAAAAAAAAAGTAAATGTTTGTCCTTATTTGGAGTTTTCTTTCAATATAAAACAGTAATTGCAGGTAAAGGAATCTCTCAGAGCATGTATACTATTAATACAGTAAAACAACTCAAATATAAAAAAAAAATTGTCATAAATAATAATTTAAGGGATTCACAGGACAAAGTACTTGAAAATGTTTTAAAATATCATGTGTGTGTAGCGTTTCGTATACAGTACTTTTGAAAGGTGGTAAAGATGTAGGTGGGGAATATAAAATATGGAGACAAGTTCAGGGGACAGTTTCATCAAACATTTATGTGGCCACTACCGAATCTTGTTCATCTCTCTCTTTAATCATGGTACCTTTATTTGTATTTATGAAACAGTTTATGAGGACTACGAGGTGCGAGGTTATCTATAACAATAATAACCTTGAATTGTTAAGTGTTGAAGCTCATAAACTGCATGATAAATACAGACTAGGGCACAACAATCTAGGAAAGATGTACAGGTTTCACAAGGTGATGGGCACACAAATGCTTGCTGTATCCAGGCCCGTGCTTCCTTGCTTCACCAAAGCAGAGCTGCATCTCCTAGGTTGAGAATGACATTAGCCAACATCACCCTACAGCATCCCTACCATAAATTAGATTTTACTAACTGCATGACATGAACGTTCTTTAATCCTAACTATTATTAAAAATAGTCATCAGAACTTTGCATTATACATACTTGTTTGTCTGGATAATCCTTGGAGCTTATTAATCCTCTAATTCTGAACTCGTGTGCAAGATCAAGAAGTTGATCCAAATTATCCGTTCTAAGATCTGCCTGGCCCAGGTACAAAAAGTCGAGCATCGCCTCGACAGCTTCAATAGGGGTTTCCGTCAAAACCAACACTGGATGATCACCCGGTGCACAATCGAGTAGCTTCTCTAAATACGAACTACAAGTGCATAGTACAAACTTGTGAACGGCATAATGTTTCTCACCACAGATCAATGTAACATCAGCAAACAATTCCTGAAATTAAAGATGGGTTTATGGGTGGGCCTTGTTTTCCTCATTTAAGGCAAAAACATTTAATAATACTGTAAGTCATTTGTCAGGCAAATATTCCTTATTCTGATTCTTTGACATCTAGATCCATCTAGAAACTACTGTACTCCTTTCTTAAAAGAATTACCGTATGTAGAATTGTCACACATTTCAGCTGCTTCCAAAAGCAAGAGATTTTTTATGAAACATTTTAAATACACCTGTATTTGACATTTATGATACACAAGTAACTTCAAAATAAGGAGAATTCTATAAAAGATATTAAGGTGTTAGATAATCAAAACTTTATAACATAACTTTACCTTGTGCCGCAAAACTGACATAACCCGAGTAAGAACTTGCTTATGGTCTGTCCACTTTAATGCTAGAGGAGGTCCATAATCATCATCATCCTCTGACATTGTGATGTTCGCTGAAAAGAGTTAAAAAGTAAAACAGTGTGCACTCAAAAACTTAAGCACTGATTGTAATGAAATGCCCATTTTCTAGTTGGCTCCCAGTAGCTGCCCAAGCTTAACACTTTGCCTGGCCTGGCGGGCCACCCGCAGCATACTACAAGGTAGGCCGGGCGTTGCCCATGACCGCACAACCCAATGTTAAACTCTCTCACTCACAATGTTTATACTTACTAATAAGAATAAGCAAAAAACCAGCATTGAATGTAACGAAAAAGCCATTTTCTGGGCGAGCCCCGAAGGCTTCCTGGAGCTTACCAGGCTGATATGTATGTATTAGACCGGGTGCCAGACCAGGGTCTGGCACCCAGAAAGGTAGGCATAACAGAACAAACCCCACATGGTAAATATCGCTACCAAAACCCTAACAGATAGCCAAATTCCCAAATTAATTGTCTGTGCAGCCCCCCTCTACACCCCCCTCCCCATGCCGGCCGCAATGGCATTCAATTCTGAGGCTGAGCATCAAAAACAACGCAAAAACCGCCAACTGGAGGGAGGGAGGGTGCCGGGAAGCCTCTGGGGCTCACCCAGAAAATGGGATTTCATTACATTCAACGCTAGTTTTCTGTGGGGAGTCCCTATGGCTCCCCGAAGCTGCCTAAACAAAGAAAAGTGACAAGAGGGACTTATCCAGGAGGCGGCTGCTACTTGCGTCTCAACTCGAAGTCGAGATAACTGGCTGCAATGTGCGACCCAAACCGACACACACTCAACTAGGGCCACGAACTTTAACCAAGTAACACTCGGCCAGGAGCCTGTTCGACCTCCATAATCCCCGTGCCCGAATGTCAGCCCAAAACATGTTACCAAAGATGGTAGCCAAAACAGTAAACTTACGAACATCACGGGCACAAGGATAGACCACAGGCTGGCTTGACCGAATAACCCTGCGAATGACTGGGAGATCCGAGCCCCTGGAACAGGAACAAGGAAAAACCGGGTCACCCCAAAGCACATCCCCGGCCACAGAGGCCGTGGCAAGCAGGTAATGGAGAAGAACCGCAACCAGACAACACATGATGCACCCCCGGCCAACTAAGCATCAACGACCCAAGGACCTCTCCGGAGAGCTGCCGACTCATTCTCCACGAGAAAAGGAGGAGACGGCTGCAAAGAAACAAACCTACTGGCTGGACCGAAAGAGCAGAAACTTCAGCGCAGGATGAAAGCATGAAGCTCCCTGACCCGAAGTCAATGCTAACAGAAAAAAAAAAGAGCCTTGGAAAAAACAATCCTGTACTGAAGAGCCCACCACAAACCGAGGAGAAGAGAGAGAAAGGAGAACACCCTGTCCAAGGACCAGGATGGCTCAGGCGGTGCATGAGCAGGCCGTAGGTGAAACAAAGCATGAGAAAGCTTACAGAACGGAGCAGAAGTAACATCCACCCCGAACGCAAGCTGAAGCGGCTCCGCCAGCGCCCCACTATGAGGCGACAGTATTAGGAATCAAATGACAGTCCTGAAAAAGCCAAGAAAGAGAGGACAAGATAACCCTATCCGAAATCGAGGACAACCTACGAAGAGTGAGAAAATGGTGGAAAGAGCGCCAGGAAACTTCATGCTGTCGCCGAGACAAAGCTCACAGTTGGGACACCATCAATGAAGCCACCTGATCACCATACAAGTAGTGATAGACCCGAAGAGCAGAGAAGACCAAACCAGCTAGGTACCTGACCGGGCTGATCTGCTGATAGAAACGGAGCCGCGGAAATCATCGCAGGTTCGGACACAGCAATTAGCGCCTGAAACCAAGGCTGGGCCAGCCACCAAGGAGCCAACAGGACTACTCTCCTCTGGTAAGTCTCCAACTGAGCCAAGAACTGAAGTAACAGCTGAACCGGGGAAGAAGAGGTACAGGTAACCCCACCTCGACCAGTCCTGCTGAAAGGCATCTACAAAGACGGCCTTGCAGTTGGGGAAGGGCGCCACATACAGTATACAGAAAGATGCCGGGACCACACAGATGCGAAGTGGTCCACGTCCGGGAGTTCATACATCTGGCAGAGCGAACTGATTGAGTTGGTGTCCATTCCATGGACAGGGGAATGAACCGAAAGAGGCAGTCTGTCAGGACATTGGACACTTCCCGGACATGAACCGCATGGAGAGCCAAACCCCGAGAATCCAGCAAATGAGTCACTCGAAGACACTAGCCCTAAAGAGCCAAGGACCGAAGAGAACCCCCACAGTTCAGGCAATGAACCACTGGAGAACAGTCCAAATGGAGCCTGATCGTCGAACCCCGAGAGACCCGAACCCTCTGAAGCGTGAGCCAAAACGCCGCGAACTCAAGCACTGTGCTGTAAGCCCGACAATGAACAGAGCCCACCGCCCCTGGCCAATCTGGTGAGCACTAGTCACAAAGCCCCAGCCAAGAAACGAAGCATCCGTGAACTAATCGAACGTGGGCTTGGGTAGGCACCAAGGCACTGAATCCCGAAAAACCCGAAGAGGAAGCCGGTGATGCAGCAACCGACGCAAAGCACCCAGGGGCCTAACCAAACGATTGCAAGAGCGGCAGAAGGGAGATCCCCAAAGGAACCAGAACAGCAGCCGCAGCAACGATTCCGGAGGGAGAGACAAGGAAGCGGTCCGAGAGTCCCCACACAAGACCCAGCCAAGTCCAAACCACCAGATGGGACTTCCTCCAGTTCAACTGGAACCTGAAGAGCTGGGAAAGAACCACACCCCTGGCGAGCACACTCATGGACCGGCTGGGAGCCCACACCAGCCAGTCAGGCCAAATGGAAGGCAACAAAAATGGAAAGCTTGCCCCCCACCACAAAACCTAACCAGTCCCCAAACCCCGGATGAATCAAGACGTGCCAATATGCGTCCCAGAGGTCCAGACACCATCCAAGTATCCCGCTCCAAGATGACCCGACAAAGTGCAGGGGAAGAGGGCCCATCCTGCTCGCCCCAAACCCCTTGGAGGAAGAGGAGCCACCCAATACCACCACAGACCGGAAGAGACGACCTGAAATGCCTAAGAATCGTTGGACCAGGCATAAGCAGGCAGATTACTCAAGGTGCTCTCTCGGGTTCTACACGTCTCCTCCTTCACTCGATGTGGTCCTGCTACGATGCATGATGGTGGACTTACAGCCTATTGTACATAGTGTATAGTCACCCCTTGTTGTTTTTCCTAAAGTAACGTAAATATTAAGTCTGTTTATTTTTGTGTGTAAGCCAACTTTTCAGGATTTATTATTTTATGTTTATTTATTATTATAAGTAAAGAATTTAATTATTTATGAATATTGTTTACTCATGCAACTATCACACTGCAAAGTACTTTAGCAGTTTTATTTATTTTGTTTAGAGTTTTAAACAAACTTTTATATTTACTTTGTTTTAATTTTTTATATAATTTTTTAGATTTTGTATTTTTGTTAAAAAAATTTCCCTTCATGCACCTGAGTGCCAACAGTTGGCACTGCTGATTATCAGGGGGAAGGGTGGGGGGGGGTTGCTAACCTGCTTCCCCAGTAACCACTGCACTACATTATAATATGACCCCCCCCCCCCATAGTGCACTGGAAAAAATTATTTCCAAAAAATTATTTTCCCTTTTTATGCTGTTAAAATGCATTCATGGACCAAATATTCACGTGATCAAAAATTTGATCACGGACAATTAAACAAAACATTACCTGTGACATACTTTAGCTGTGACGGAGCAGAGAGAGAGAGTCGAGAGCAATTTATGGGCGCCGAGTGAAGGAAATTATCAGGGAAAGCGCCAAGCCATTACGACTATATAGTAAGGGCGCCGAGTGAGTACGCGCTTAGACACACTAGCCCCAGCGAGCATGTGAGGCTGCAGTTGCCTTTAATAATTTTTAAAAATCTAATTTGTCTAATCTAATTTAAATTTTTGTAATATTATAATATTGTGTAAATTGAAAAATTTATACTGTATAATCTAATGCGTGAAACATTACTATGCTCAAAAATATGGGGCCGATATATAGTGACACATTATATTCTTACACCAATTGGTGTTTTTGCTGTTATTACACTAAAGTATATACGTTATATATAACTACAGTATCTACATGTTTTTGTGCACCATAAGCCTAGTGCCCAACAGCTGAGTGTGGCTGGGGCTGTCTCCAGGGACATTTGTACATAATTATTTTAACGTGAATGGTTTTATATCTAGCTTTTTGGAGTAATATTATGCAAAAGTGTGTAATATATGGAATTTATATAAATATATGGAATTATATAGCTCAATGTGTGGAACATCGCTATGCTCAAAAATACAGTGCTCATAAATATATCACTATAATATACAGTACTGTATACTATATTCTTAGATCAATCAATCAATCATTTTTGGTGCTATTACACTATACACACACATATATATATAGCTAACTACATTTTTTATGCACCATAATGAACCATGAAGATCGTGTGTTGAGTTTATATACACACAACAATGATCCAAGGTCAGCCTAGCGCCCGACAGCCAAGTATGGCAGGGGGGGGGGGGGGGGGCGGCCCTAAATACCGTACATTCTTCCATAATTAATTCAATATCTGTGAATGGTTTTATATCTAGCTTTTTGCAGTAATATTATTCAATAGTGTGTAATTTGTGGAATTTATATAGTTAACCCTTAGGCTGCGGACATCGTCAACTGTTGATTCGGAGGGTAATGTGGTTATCATATGAAGATTTAGATTATTGTCTGGGTGTTACATGTATGATGCAAATTAGGATATAATAGGTGGATGTAATGGCGTTTATCTTGATCCATGAAAGGAATTCTGCTACGAACAAATCCACAAGGGCTGTGACGAGGATTCGAACCTACGTCCGAGAACATCCCAGACGCTGCCTTAATCGACTGAGCTACGACATGGTATAAGAATTGCAACCAGAAATTCTACGGAATTTATTTGGATCCTGCAGCCTCTCCGAGACACAAACCAGGATTTTACACAATTCCCTCCATGCACTCGAGCTATGTCATTTTGTTCTGGATTTGGATTTGTTCATTTGATGCATCACGCTATTGTGATTTCTGTGTGTAATCCTGCTACCATTCCATAGTTACGAATGCGGTTATCGTCATGAATGTTACTAGGGGAATGCAATCATGATGATTTAAGCAATTATTGTCTGGGTATTACATGTATAATGCAAATATGGATATAATAGCTCTATGTGGATGTAAAAAAAGGAAAATACGTGATAAAACAATCGGTAAAACATCCGAGGATAAAACAGGAAGTGTCAGCAAAGTCGAGCACTGGGTGATGACAAGTGGCAGACACAGCCTTACAGAGCGCCTCCACCCAGCGAGACGATAAATATTCATTTATTTCGTGTTTTTCTTACATTTTGCATACAAAATTAATAATTCTCTAATAAAAAAATTTTTTAGAATTTGTTTAGTTTTTGTGCATTAGCAGGATGACAATGTCTCATACCTGCAGGTCATACTTGACCTGCTGTCAAGTAAGAGGTAGTTAACAGTATCAAAGGCCTTTCTTGGGTCACTGAAGAGGTCAACTGGGAAACTCCTTTTTGTCAAGGGCTTTGTATATTATATCATAGCAGACAATTAATGGCATCATTGGTGCTCTTTTTTTGAATGGAAGCCAAACTGGCAGGGACTTTAATACATTGAATTTTATAAAATAAAAATGTTGAGCTGTTTGTAAATAATTGTTTCAAATATTTTTTATTGTATCGATAGATTTGATATTGGTCTGTAATTTTTGTCAGCTGTATTGTCTGTTTTATGAACGGGAGTTTTGAGATTTTAAGGATATCAGGAGAAGTACAACACTAGAGATTTGTTGAATAGCAGAGCTATGTATGGGTGGTACAAGGGCATTAGCTGCACTTTAATATACTGTACCATAGATGATATTTCACTAATGTTCTCAGTTTTGGTTTTAAATGAGTAAAATTGATATAATGTCTGTCGGGGTGACTGGTAAAAGGAGTAGAGTTAGGATAACTGCCGGTGAGATGTGCAGTAACATGTGTCTGGGTCTCGGGAATTTTTCTGGCAAGGTTAGCACCAATTGATAAAAAGAAGCCATTAAACTCGGTTGTCATTTCTAGGTCTATTGCAGGTGTGTAATTTACCTGAATTTATGCGAGGACCACTAATACACTAGTGGCCTTGATGAGGACAGGAAGTCAGCAGCCTGTCAAAGGTCCCCCTCCCCCCACCCCCCATTTGTCCGAATGATTTTTTCAATTTGAACTTTAATAACCCTGTGGCCCTCAACCTGTCCTAGTACGAGTTGACTTGGCTCTTGAAATATTATTGTTGCCCGGTGTTTAAATTTCTCCAATGAAGCTATATCTTTCTGAAGATGAGGTCTCCATACCTTGATGTAATAATCTATGTGGGGCAACCATCCTTGGAGAGTTTTATCTGCTTGTTATGCGAGTGTTGTTTAGATCCTAGGATGTTAGAGATGGCTTTCCATCAGCTTTTCATGTGTTTTTGGCTTCTTTGAATCTACTCTCATAAAATGAAAGTGTAGCTTTTCTTATACTGATAAGCATTGATGAGTATCTTTTAACTAGTTCTTTTATAACTAGGCCAATTCTGTATTTGTTTGTGTTTCTTGTTAACTACTCAGTTGAGAGTAGTTAGCAAGAAACATAAACACAGAGTGAAGAGAGGACTCTGTTGTAGAGGCTTAGAGTTTAGGAGAGGAAGATATCTGCTTGATTCCTGGTTGACGGGGTTCTGGGAGTTGTTCTACTCCCCAAGCCCGGCCCGAGGCCAGACTTGACTTGTGAGAGTTTGGTCCACCAGGCTGTTGCTTGGAGCGGCCCGCAGGCCCACATACCCACCACAGCCCGGTTGGTCCGGCACTCTTTGAAGGAAACAATCTAGTTTCATCTTGAAGACGTCCACGGATATCGATTAATGAATTTACATCCTGTGTATTATTGAATTCAGATTTCCGGTTTATAGTGTGGAGTTAATTTACGAGATTGCCTAGTGTTACTTTGCTGTGTAGTCTGAAGGAAAGTTTCTTGGTATCCGAAGGCGTTATGTCCATGTTTGCTATGAAGAAGACAGGGCAGTGGTTGGGTGTTCTGTCAGTGATTATACCAAGAGGTAAGGGGGCTGTTATGTTAGTCCATATGTGGTCCAAGATTGTAGCAGATGTGCGAGTGATTTAGGCGGGCTTGGTGATCGTGGGGATTAACATACAGTAGTTCATGCTGTTTAGTAAGTAGTCAACTTGGGGGCTATTTTGTTGACAAAGGTTAATGTTAAAGTTGTCACCTAGAATGATGTGATTTTCGTTGAGTTTGTTGTTTATGATTAGATTCTTTAGATTATCTGAGAATATTGTTGTATTAGTACAGTACTGGGATATCTATAAACAGCTCCATTGGTTAAAGAGGATTTAGGGGATTTGATTGAGAATTGAGCAAAGGTATATTCACAGTTGTTGTATCTATCACTAATGACACTGGTGTAGATAGTTATCTAGATAATAAATAGCTATACCTCCCCATTTTTTTTTTCTATCTAGTCTACAGTTGTGAATAACTTTATAACTGGCTACGTTATATAGACGGGTATTGCCTATACTGAGTCATATTTCTGTTAAAATAATGAACAATAGTTAAGTACCTGGTACTTCTAGGTATTACTGCAGGTGTCCCCCCACCAGTCAAACCCACAGGTGTCCCCCCACCACCAGTCAAACCCACAGGTGTCCCCCCCACCACCAGTCAAACCCACAGGTGTCCCCCCCACCACCAGTCAAACCCACAGGTGTCCCTCCACCAGTCAAACCCACAGGTGTCCCCCCACCACCAGTCAAACCCACAGGTGTCCCTCCACCAGTCAAACCCACAGGTGTCCCCCACCAGTCAAACCCACAGATGTCCCCCCACCAGTCAAACCCACAGGTGTCTCCCCACCAGTCAAACCCACAGATGTCCCCCTCCCCCCACCAGTCAAACCCACAGGTGTCTCCCCACAGGTGTCCCCCCACCAGTCAAACCCACAGGTGTCCCCCCACCACCAGTCAAACCCACAGGTGTCCCCCCACCAGTCAAACCCACAGGTGTCTCCCCACCAGTCAAACCCACAGGTGTCCCCTACACCAGTCAAACCCACAGGTGTCTCCCCACAGGTGTCCCCCCACCAGTCAAACCCACAGGTGTCTCCCCACAGGTGTCCCCCACCAGTCAAACCCACAGGTGTCTCCCCACAGGTGTCCCCCACCAGTCAAACCCACAGGTGTCTCCCCACAGGTGTCCCCCACCAGTCAAACCCACAGGTGTCTCCCCACAGGTGTCCCCCACCAGTCAAACCCACAGGTGTCTCCCCACAGGTGTCCCCCACCAGTCAAATCAAATGTTTATTCAGGTAAAAGTGCATACATACGAGTTACAATGTTGGATTATGAGGATTAGTTGAATTAGTCACACCACTGGTGCCCTCACCAGTCAAACCACAGGTGTCCTCACCAGTTACACCACTGGTGTCGTTGCCAGTCACACCACTGGTGTCCTCGCCAGCCCAGCCAGAGGTGTGCACACCAGGCATGCGAGTGTGAGGAAGGTAGAGGTGTTCCTACCAAGAAAGCAGCCCGCCACACCACCACCTGACGCCAGCCTCCACATGTAAACACAACCCCACCCCCCCTACAACCTTCCCTTCAAAATCCACCCCCGCCAAATATTTATTTATTGATTTATTTTATTTATTTATATACAGGAAGGTACATTGGGATTGTGAGGATACATAGCATGGTATTTACAATCTTGTAAAGCAGCCACTAGTACGCGCAGCATTTCGGGTCTTGAATGAATGTTCTTGGCGCGCGGATTGAATGCTCCTGGATGGGCTTTCTATTCTCACCTCATCCGGAGCTCATCTTTGAATTGTGCTGGATTCTTTGGGGCCAGTGTGTGCTCACTGGAGATACCCAGGAACTCAAAGCACCGGGGGAGGCCGGAGTCTCCCTAATGGACGACCCCCTGAGCGGGGGCGCCATGTAAGTTCCCAGAGTCCCAGAGCATCAGACAGTAAGTCTCAGAGAGGCAAACGTCTGTTGGAGAATGAGCTGGATTACGCTGCCCAAGAGCGAGATGCTAAGAAGATGTCTTCGCCTTCAGAAGACCTTCCTCCTGTGGTACCTCATTCCTCGTTTGTGGTTGTCCTGATCCAGTCAACAACAGGTCATAGTGTGTGTTTGCGAATCCTAGTACCTGCAGTGCAGCAATTGAGGCTTTGGTATTGTGGTCATATTTATTGCCTGAGACCGTGCGTACCCTGGGTGGGGGTGCAGCACTGAAGCTACACATCAGGCAGGAGACTCTGTTGCACGTCCGGCTACCCGACATTATTGAGTCAGGCCAGGGTGACTGGCCTGTCAGGTGCCAACAGGTATTGTTGCAACAGTCGTCGTTGTCTCGGGCCCGAGACAACGACAACAATATTGGCCCAATTGACCCGATTGTTGAAGTGAATGACATCCAGGCCCCTCTACAGGTGTCAGGGGGTGCATCAACGGGATTATTGGAAGTTACCAGAATTCGTGGAACACCAGGGACACCCATGGTCCGTGTAAAGTTCGACTGCGGCAAAACAGGTCATACAGATAGTTATTTATATATTTACTTATTTATATATATACAAGAAGATACATTGAGTGTGTGAGCGTACATAGCATGGTGTTTACATTCTTGTAAAGCCACTAGTACGCGCAGCGTTTCGGGCAGGTCCTTAATCTAAAGGAAGAGGGATTTAGAGAGTCTGGCCCTTTTAGTTTTTGCAGACCTACGAGCCTCCTTATACTCTGGATACTTGGAGGTTTACACGGATGGGTCCCACAAAGCTTAGCCATCATCCACATCTGCGGCAACATACTTTGCTCCTTTTCCCTTCTGTTAGACGTGGAAGCTTTTCCCTCCTCATTCGTGCTTGGCCGGGGAACTGTTTGCAATCTTACTAGCTTTACGACTCCTTCGACAAGTTTCAGGGCTCTCGGGGGTAGTTTTCTACGTGGACTCAGTTACAGCCCTACATCTGATATCACCTCTGTCCATCCACGAGTCCATCGTCATACTGTGTCACAGATCCGTGGAGAACTGCTGTCATACTCTGGTATTCCGGGTTGGTCGATCTATCTCCAATGGGTTCCGTCACATGTCGGTATTAATGGCAATGAGGTGGCCGACGAAGCAGCAGGGATGGCGCATGGTCTCCATGACTACAAATGTGCCCCTGGAATTTCCGAAATTCTCCCGCAGCTTTGGGCGGCTTGCCTCGTGAATTGGGAGGCAGTGATGACGCTAGCACTGAGGTCCTCTTCTCTGGCGGATCTCTATTCGTCTCCGGATTGGGCCACTTGCCTGGCTACACATCTCCATCGTCTACGGCTGGTAGATTCCCCATACTGCCAGTAGTATCCGACCCGGGAGGATACAGTGGAACACCCTTTTCTTCACTGCCCTCGATTTCATAGCGCTCGCGTCAGGCTACATAGTGCCGTTTGTAGGCTGAATATTCCCCTCCTCACGGTTCCCGTTCTCCTTGACGGGGCAGGTGCGAGAGACGAAGACGTCCGTCATGATATCCTTCGCCATACTTTCCGCTTCATCCGTCCTGTTCGTGGCCTGAAGAGACTGTAGGGACCCCATCCCTCTTTGCCATTTCTCAGTATCAGGCATCCGATCCCTTGAGCGTCGTCACCCCTAAATCAACAACAACACCACCCTAGCCAAATTATTTTAATTTTTATTTTTAATTTATTTATTTATTTACAAGAAGGTAAAATGGGTTTGTGAGATTACGTAATATTGTTATTTTTATATTTTTGCAAAGCTACTAACACACATTGTGTTTCAGGCAGAATTAGATATTAATTCATATGATCCAATGTCGAAATTTTTTGCACTATATCCATATTCGGTTAATAGAAGATAAATGCAATACATATGGTGCGAGCATAAGCTATGTAGGCTAAAATCTTAAACAGCAGCTTTATATTATAATAAGAGTCTTGGCGATATAACTTTTTATTAAATGTAATATTAATAATAACATATTTGCATCTGCAGTTGCTAGTAATTTGCAACAGCGAGTTGCAGCCTATGGTGTGCATGTGCAGGGATACATGTTAAGTGACCTTAATACCTATACTTGTATACATATTCTACCTAAGTAAGGGCACTTGTACCTGAACATAGTAGTACATAAATAAAGTATATAAGGGTAGAGATTTCATCTCAAAATTATAAGTGGTGCACTTAACAATAATAACGAAGGAGACAAGTTCAAGTTCAAGTTCAAGTATGTTTATTGAGATAAGCAATAAATACATCTCAAAGGGATAGAGTAGCTTAGGCTATTTCTACCCCCCCCCCCCTCTACTTCAAGTCCCTCAAGGGGCGCACAAATTCAGTGAGTACAAATAGACATATAACAGTACAAGAATCCCATTTAACATTGCATACAGCAAGTATAGCATATAATTGTTACATTCTTGGGGCAAAATTCTTGTAGCTCCTAAGTATACTGTCTATTATACCATTATCACACATCCAAACAATTTGATGCGGTACACTATTTATTTCCTTATTTCTATAGTTATCAATAAGTTGACACGCTAATACATAATGTTCTAAGGTGTGGGCGTGCGGCATACTACATAATTTACACTCCTTATCTTTTTCACTGACATCTACACCGTATTGCCAGATATATTTGTATCCTAATCTTAATCTCATGTAAATTGAATCCTTCCAAGTAGACTTTCCTTTACCATAAGTGAAGGACGAATTTGTATTTATTATTGAATAATTCTTAAGTGTGTTACTACTGTCCACCATTGTCATTCTCTTTATCATTTCTTCACCCTCTTGGATCACCTTGAGTCTTGTTTTTGTTTGTTTCAAGGTTAACTGACATACAACATCAACAAGAGTTTTTCAGTGGCTCTCTTCGCTATGTCATCAACTACCTCATTCAACAGTATTCCCACATGTGAAGGGATCCACATGAATCTTACTTTATACCCAATTTTTTCTAGTCTCTTAACATTCTCTCTACAATCTATCACAATATTCTGATATACTGGGCGTCTGCTATTTAAAGACTCTAACGCTCCTCTGCTGTCAATAAAGAAGCAAGCATTTTTACCACATTTGACTACTTCCTGTAATCCTGCTAATACTCCTTGGAGTTCAGCCTGCGTTGAAGAGACATTATCAGTTAAGCGGCGTCCAATAACAGTATCTACAGTGCCGATGTCAGTGTACTCCCTGATTACGAAGGAGACATATATCGCCTATGCACAATTAATTGTATTTGTGCTGTTTTTTCAACAATGTTCCCCCCTCTTTTACCTCTATTTTTATTTGTACTCAACGCATTTTTTTCTTTTTACCCATTAGTTTTAAGCTTTAGTCATTAGTGTTTTTCCTGCCCGAAACGCTTTGCGTAATAGTGGCTTTAGGCATTGTATGTACTAGCTCTTATCTATAAAGCCAACAAACTTTGTAAAATCTCTTTATGTAAGTACCTTTGCCTAAATAAAAATTATTATTATTATTATTATAAATAATTAACATTACTAATTACCAATAATTAGCCACTTACATATGTGCCTAACATTACATTACATGTGTAAGTCATGAAACAAGCTACAAGTCCCCGCGGCCCGGTCGTCGACCAGGCCTCCTGGTTGCCAGACTGATCAACCAGGCTGTTGGACGCGGCTTTTCGCAGCCTGACGTATGTCAGGCTGCGTGTTGGTGCTGCTTGTTAAGATTTCTCTGGTGATGGTCTGGTTGTGTGAGGAGATTATATGCTCCTTGGTGGAGCCCTGTTGTTTACGCATTGTTAATCGCCCAGAAAGAGACGTTGTTGTCTTGCCTATATACTGAGATCTTTGGGGCTTACAGTCCCCAAGTGGGCATATGAAGGCATAGACGACGTTGGTTTCTTTCAAGGCGTTCTGTTTGGTGTCTCGAGAGTTCTTCATGAGTAAAAAATAAAATAAAAGAAAATAAAATAAAATAAAATAAAATGTTTATTTAGGTAAGGTACATACATACAATAAATTTTTACAAAGATTGGTTGACTTATAGGTAGAGCTAGTACATACAATGCCTAAAGCCACTATTACGCAAAGCGTTTCGGGCATGATAAACTTAAATGACAAGCTTAATACTAATTGAGCATAATGAGTAGAATGAAAACAAGAAATGAAAACATAGATGAAAAAGCAGCACAAATACAATTATGTCGACAAACAGCGCTCTTTAAAAAAAAACAGACATTGGCTGACAATAGAAGGGTAAGGTAGGTTACAGGGAATTTATTAGGTATAGCTTCGTTTTTAACTTAAACTGGTTGAGAGAGGTACAGTCTTTAACATGGTTGGGAAGGTCATTCCACATTCTGGGCCCCTTGATTTGTAGAGCATTTCTAGTTTGATTAAGTCGTACTCTAGGAATATCAAAACTGTATTTATTTCTGGTGTGGTGCTCATGGGTTCTGTTACAACCTTCTATGAAGCTTTTGAGATCAGGATTGGCATTATAGTTTAGCGTTTTATATATGTATAATACACATGAGAGAATGTGCAGTGACTTAATGTCTAATATATTCAGAGATTTGAGTAA